CGGCGCAGCAGCATTAGCAACATCCGTGGACTCTAGGGGTGCAGGTGTTGAGGAGGGTGCTAGTCCTAGGGTTCGTGTCGTGGATTGTCCCGGCGGTCCTGGGGGTGGCGCAGGTGCTCGAGAGGGTTCTCGCTCTGCAGGTGCTCGTTCGGGGGGTGCTGGAATGGAGCGTTTCAGCGGTAGCCGTGGTGCAGTTGGAGGTTTTGTTGTCGCTGTGGAGCGGCAGAAGTCTCCGCGGAAGTCTGCCCTGCGCCTGTTCGGTCTTCCCTTCCCTGCTTACTTGCCGCCGCCTCCCCTCTCTATCTACGGCTCTGTCTTTCCTCTGCCGTACTTGTTTTCGGCTCGTTTTCCCCCTCGTTCCCCTCATGTGTCTCCTCCTCTGTCCCCTGACCCAACGCCTCCTCACGTCTGGTCTCCTCGCCCCTCCTTGGCTCGTCTGGTCTATCCTATTCCGCGCTCTCACCCTTTGTTTCTCTATTCCCACGCGTCTCGTCCTCCCCTACTCCCGTCGCCTCCTCCATCCTCGCTTGTTGTCGCTCCGCCTCCTCTGTCCGACTTCCTCTGTGCAGCTAAAACTCTTGTTCCTCGGGTCCTTGCCTCCCTTGTTACCGACCCGTCTGTTCCTGTCTCGAGTCTTGACACTCTTGTCGCTGCCGTCACTGGCTTCGCCTCTACATGCCGCCTTGACTACGCCTCCGCTCCTGTCTCTGACCCTGTCCGTCCTCCGTCCGTCGAGAGTGCTCCTGCCCTTGGCAGTGACGTCCTAGAGGACCGGCAGTACGAGCTTGCTTTCCTGTTTGAGGTCGCGCCTCATCTCTCCTCCATGCTGCTAGTCCCTGAGGGTGACCCAGACACCTTCGACATCCCGACCCCTCGCACCTATACTAAGGTGACCTCGGAACCCTGGGTCTCTCAGTGAATAGCTGCCATGGACGTGGAGATGGCATCTTGGAGATCCAATGGCACCTACTTCGACGCAGTTTTTCCACCTGGGGTGAACGTAGTCGATGACCGGTGGCTCTTCAAGGTGAAGTGCCCTCCTGGAGAGCCGCCTGCGTTCAAGGCATGCTACGTGGCTAGAGGCTTCAGTCAGCGAAAGGGTGTGGACTCCTTCTAGACCTTTGCTCCGACCCCGAAGATGACTACTCCTCGGGCACTGCTATATGTTTAGCAATACATGGTGACTACGAGCTGCACTCTCTCGACTTCTCAACAAATTTTATTCAGGGCAGTTTGCACGAGCAGGTCTACCTGCGCCGTCCGCCAGCCTTTATTGGCACCTTCGCCTCGAGGACCCAGTGGCTCCTTCGACGTCCGGTTTATGGCCTGCGGAAGGCACCGCGCGAGTGGCACGACACGTTGCGTATTACGTTAGCTGACCTGCAGTTCTTCCCGCCCTCTGTAGACCCTTCATTTTTCATTCATGCTGGCCAGACCCCGTTCTACATCCTAGGCTACATAGACAACCTGGTCTTTGCTACTGCAGATAGAGACGCACTAGCCTCCGTGAAGGCTCAGCTGCTGAGGAGACACACGTGCACTGACCTAGGAGAGTTTCGCAGGTACCTTGGCCTGCAGATCTCCAGGGATAGAGTATCACGCACCATCATTCTGACATAGTCACACCTGGTGCGCCAGGTCCTTTAGAGGTTCGGCCTTCAATTCTCCTCCGTACAGCCCACACCTCTGCCAGTAGACCACCGACTCTCGGTTCCAGTCACTGAGGAGTCTGTAGTGCCTAGTGGTCCTTACGCCTTTGCTGGTGGGTTGCCTCATGTACCTGATGACTTGCACTCGTCTAGATCTAGCATACACTCTCAGCATCCTGGCCCACTTTGTAGCACCAGGCAGACACCGACCGCAGCACTGGTCGGCCGCTAAGAGGGTTTTGCATTATCAAGCAAGTACATCGGGCATGGGGCTAGTGCTAGGAGGACGCATGCCAGTGGTCCTTACAGGGCACACAGAGGCTTCGTGGGCGGACGACACTGGGACGCTCAGGTCCTCCCAGGGCTACTGCTTTAGCCTCGTGCAGATGCCATCTCGTGGATGTCCATCTGCTCGTCATCCGTTGCCCAGTCGAGCTGCGAGGCCGAGATCTACGCTGATGCTATGGCAGCACAGGAGCTCCGCTGGCTTTCTTGCTCACACACTTAGGTGAGCGGCCTAGCTTTGCCCTGTTCTTGTACGCTGACAACAAGGCCATGATCGTCCTATGTAAGAAGCCTCAACTGGAGGGCAGAGCGAAGCACATCCAGCTGCAATACAGCCTATTGCGCGAGTTACAGCAGCACGGCCAGGCCCGCGTAGTACACTTGGCACCCGGTGCCAACACCGTTGGTATCTTTATGAAGGCACTTGCGCCTAAAGATCATCAGCGGCACTGCGTACAGCTTGGTCTAGTTCCTGTAGCTTCTCACTTGGTAGGACCCTGACTGTGTACTACTACTGATATTATCTTGACTGGCCTTGTGGCTCTTGGTCTAGTGGCCGGACTAGTAGTGCCGCCCTGGGTTACACTTGTGTAGTTTGTACTCTTGCTGACTGGTCTTCAGGCCCTTGCCTCAGAGGTTGAACTAGTAGTTGCACCCTGAGCTGTGTGCCTCTTGCTAGTCACTGCCCCTTGTCTAGCCTAGGGGGTGTGTCAACATATAATTTGTATATGTTATAGGCTAGTTACAGTGGCGGAAAAAAATGCTCGGATGTTTAGCACTTTGAAACATATCGCTATGCCACACTTGTTCAACCGTTTCTTGCTTGGCGCGATTGTGATACAACCGAAAAGCGGGATTGAGATTTACTCCTCGGCTGTCGATGCGAACAGTTCATACCGAGCGACGTTCAAGATCTATTTTCGCCCGTCACTCGGTGTGCACATCGTTACGCGCAACAGCTGCTAGTCTAGGAGTTAGTCCTGAAGCGAACCTACGACCGCATCGCCATGAAGCTGGTAGATGACAAGAAGCGCGCGCGAATCATAAGCATGTTGCGCAAAGGGCATTCGACTAGGAAAATAGCCAAAGTTCTTGGCATAGGCAAGAGCACCGTGCACGATTACGGTTTGAAGGTGATTGCTGAGACTAGTCGCAATGAGGTGCGACCCACGATGCCCACGGCCTGCCACCCCCGCTTAATCTCAACCCGACTCCAGCGCGGAATAGTTCGAGCGATTACAAGCGGGGAGGCGAAAAGCAGTGTAGACGCCGCAAAGGTGTTGCAGGAGAAGCACGGTCTGGCTGTAGACTCGAAGACGGTTAGGAACGCGTTACGATCCGCGGGCTTGATCGCCGTGCAGCAGCCCAAGAAACCCAGGCTCTCACCGAAAAACATACGCGATCGTCTCGATTTCGCGAGGTCGCATGCCGACTGGACGCTGGAGGATTGGAAGCGGGTGATTTGGTCTGATGAGACTAAGATAAACCGTTACTGCTCCGACGGACGTGCGTACGGCTGGATTCGCGAGGGCACCAGCCTCCAGAGCCATTAAGTCCAACATGCAGTTAAGCATGGGGGCGGTTCTGTGATGATGTGGGGTTGCATGACGTATAAGAGGGCGGGGTCTATGTGCAAGATAGATGGCAGGATGGATGGGCCGCTGTATCGCGGCATCTTGCAAGATGAGCTCAAACAGACCATCGATTTTTTCAAGCTCCCCCCCTCAGAGGTCATTTTCCAGCACGACAATGATCCCAAGCACAGGTCCCGTCTTGTCCAAGACTGGCTTGGGGAGCAGGAGTACGCGGTGCTGGAATGGCCCTCGTCCTCCCCGGACCTTAACCCAATAGAGCGCATGTGGGCACACTTGAAAAGGCAGCAAGCGACGTATGAAAAGCCACCTAGTGGAATGCTGGAGCTGTGGGAGAGGGTGCAGGAGGAATGGGACAAGATACCGGTGGAGGTGTGTTCAAACCTCATCGACAGTATGCCGAGGAGGATCAAGGAAGTGATTCGCGCAAAGGGACGCTGGACTTGGTACTAGTTTTTCAAGAATCTAGTTTAATGCCTGTCCTCGGTACAAATTGTTTGGATGTGCTCGTATGATATGCTTAGGTGTTTAAGGACGATGTATTATACTACTCTGGTGTTTGTCGACCTGAATGAGTGCTCTAAATGATATTCTCAACGTGTTTGCACACCATAAATTAAGGCTTACTGTTTATGCCGCTGCACTCATCAAACTGCAAAAAGGACTTAACATGTGGACAAAATTTCCCGTCACTGTAGGTGCATGCATGGATAGCGTACAACCCCTTAGGTTATAACACATTGTACCACCTCATGTCAGTCATTCTTTCTACGCTAAGACTCACTTCATGGTACTCTTTTGTTGGTCCATTCTATCGAGGTTGTTTGTTGGTTTCGACTCCAAATCTAAGTCATGAGATTATGAGTTGCTGGTTTCAGCTCTATTTCATGTCACAAATGCCCCTCCTGATTTCCACTTCGCTGCCTAACGTCAAATTTTACAGTTCATGCATGTCGTTTCATACAGGGTTGCAGAAAATCCGGAAATAGCAGTTTGTTGAATAATGCCATGTTGTGCCCTATGAACCTGTTTTATTTAGGGCGGATGGTATTAGCGTGTTGGTTTAGCTACTGTTAATATTGTAGGCCTTGCTGTGTGAAGGGTCTGAGATGATGCATTCACATCTCAGTTCATCACTAATTTATTACTTTTTATTCGCTATAACCTTTTGTAATGTCAACGGTCTAGTAAAAACGAAATAGATGTAGAGGCGTTTGTTTTAGAAAATGGAGGTCAAATACTTGTAACCACATGTTACCCGATTCGGACACGTTACTGGTTGACGTTCGCACCTAAATTCTTCGCATGTTTGGTGAATGGACGACGACATGAGAGCACTGTATTTCTTGTAACTGTTTGCGTAGCGCCGTAACAGTCACATCTTGCGAAACTTAACGAGCTCCTCTGACTGGAAATGCAGACCGAACAGGGTATACACGTAGCACCTTGTCCGTCCATCCCTGACGAATCACACACGGTGGTTGCACAGCTCCCTACTTCCCCCGGTACGGCGTATGGAGGTGGTTTGGACTTCGTAAGTACGAAGCCCAAACACCTAGTCCAACTCCCTTTTCTGGTACGTTTTACGAGAGTTCGGGCAGCCCTAGCGGAAGCCCCGTTCTAGAACGGGTACCTACTCAGTCGAACTTTTCGAGTAGGGACGGAGTAAATACGCGCCCAGAACTACGTGCGGACGCTTGCGAATCCGTTCCCCCTTTTGGGATGTCCCCGCTCCTCCCCGTCCTCCCCGGCCCCGTCCTCCCCGCTCTCTTCCACCCTCGCATTCCCCACATCGCTCCCCTCGCCCTCTCCTGTCGCACTCACACCCGTCGCCACTTTCCCCAACCCCTCTCCACCGCTCCCCCCCTCCCCCTCCCCCGTTTCCCCCTCCCCCCCTTCCCCCCGTCCATTCAACTTATCCCCACCCCCCTCGCCCTCTCCCGCTCTTCCCCGGCAAAACGGGTAGGCTGATGTGACGCGGTCGATGTGTGACGCGGTCGATGTGTGACGTGGTCGATGTGTGACGCGGTCGATGTGTGACGTGGTCGATGTGTGACGCGGTCGATGTGTGACGCGGACGATATGTGACGCGGTCGATACGTGAGGGGGCAGCTCAACCATGCCATCTCCCTCTGCTCTATCCTTCCCTCTACCATCCATCCCCCTATTGTAAACGGGCCCTTCACCGTGGACCAGCTGACAGGAGGCGGTCGATATGTGAAGGGGAAACTCTACCTAACCCTGTCTCTCTTTCCTCCCTGCCCCATCCCTCCTCTCTGCCCCATCCCTCCTCTCTGCCCATCCCTCCTCTCTGCCCCATCCCTCCTCTCTGCCCCATCCCTCCTCTCTGCCCCATCCCTCCTCTCTGCCCCATCTCTCCTCCCTGCCCCATCCCTCCTCTCTGCCCCATCCATCCTCCCTGCCCCATCCCTCCTCTCTGCCCCATCTCTCCTCTCTGCCCCATCCCTCCTCTCTGCCCCATCCCTCCTCTCTGCCCCATCTCTCCTCTCTGTCCCATCCCTCCTCTCTGCCCCATCCCTCCTCTCTGCCCCATCTCTCCTCTCTGCCCCATCCCTCCTCCCTGCCCCATCCCTCCTCTCTGCCCCATCCCTCCTCTCTGCCCCATCCCTCCTCTCCGCCCCATCCCTCCTCTCTGCCCCATCCCTCCTCCCTGCCCCATCCCTCCTCTCTGCCCCATCCCTCCTCTCTGCCCCATCCCTCCTCTCTGCCCCATCCCTCCTCTCTGCCCCATCTCTCCTCCCTGCCCCATCCCTCCTCTCTGCCCCATCCCTCCTCTCTGCCCCATCCCTCCTCTCTGCCCCATCCCTCCTCTCTGCCCCATCCCTCCTCTCTGCCCCATCTCTCCTCCCTGCCCCATCCCTCCTCTCTGCCCCATCCCTCCTCTCTGCCCCATCCCTCCTCTCTGCCCCATCCCTCCTCTCTGCCCCATCCCTCCTCCCTGCTCCATCCCTCCTCTCTGCCCCATCCCTCCTCTCTGCCCCATCCCTCCTCTCTGCCCCATCCCTCCTCTCTGCCCCATCCCTCCTCTCTGCCCCATCTCTCCTCCCTGCCCCATCCCTCCTCTCTGCCCCATCCCTCCTCTCTGCCCCATCCCTCCTCTCTGCCCCATCCCTCCTCTCTGCCCCATCCCTCCTCTCTGCCCCATCTCTCCTCCCTGCCCCATCCCTCCTCTCTGCCCCATCCCTCCTCTCTGCCCCATCCCTCCTCTCTGCCCCATCTCTCCTCTCTGCCACATCCCTCCTCTCTGCCCCATCCCTCCTCTCTGCCCCATCCCTCCTCTCTGCCCCATCCCTCCTCTCTGCCCCATCCCTCCTCTCTGCCCCATCTCTCCTCTCTGCCCCATCCCTCCTCTCTGCCCCATCCCTCCTCTCTGCCCCATCCCTCCTCTCTGCCCCATCTCTCCTCTCTGCCCCATCCCTCCTCTCTGCCCCATCCCTCCTCTCTGCCCCATCTCTCCTCTCTGCCCCATCCCTCCTCTCTGCCCCATCCCTCCTCTCTGCCCCGTCCCTCCTCTCTGCCCCGTCCCTCCTCTCTGCCCCATCCCTCCTCTCTGCCCCATCCCTCCCCTCTGCCCCATGCCTCCCCTCTGCCCCATGCCTCCCTCCCTCCCCAGCACCCCAGATAAGACCTTCACTTCACAATGGGTCGGCTGACAGGTGGCGGCCGATATGTGAAGGGGGTAACACTTGGGAAGGGAACGTTCGGCGTCGTCTTTAAAGCCTACGACACCCATGTGAGGAGGATGACGTGATATCCGGGTGCTTGCTCTGGTTTCGTGATCGCTTTCTACCATTTGTTTCTTTGCCGTCCTGAGACTTGTGTGTGCCTAATCTCGTTCTCATTGTCAGGGCCTCGTACACGTGGCCATGCGTCGTGTGTCCTCATTGTGATTCGTTGATCGTGTTCTGAGAACCCACCATGCTGAGTAGATCTTATGTGTTGCGTGTGTTAGGTGACTAGCCACCGTCGTTCACATTCACATCACGATCACGTCTCATTTATTCCAGTCCGTCAACCTCTCATGACTCCTGTCCTGCTGTCATGCCTTCTGCACTCCTTCACATCTCGCGTGTGGCTCTGAGGGGGATGACTTCACATCTCGCGTGTGGCTCTGAGGGGGATGAAGCTCCTGCAGGAGCGGCTGCACCCAGCCGGCCGCACATCATCAAGCCGAGGAGATTCCAAGGACTGAGGAGATTCCAAGGACTGAGGAGATTCCAAGGACTGAGGAGATTCCAAGGACTGAGGAGATTCCAAGGACTGAGGAGATTCCAAGGACTGAGGAGATTCCAAGGACTGAGGAGATTCCAAGGACTGAGGAGATTCCAAGGACTGAGGAGATTCCAAGGACTGAGGAGATTCCAAGGACTGAGGAGATTCCAAGGACTGAGGAGATTCCAAGGACTGAGGAGATTCCAAGGACTGAGGAGATTCCAAGGACTGAGGAGAGCACCCGGCCGGCCGGCAGCTCCCAGGCGGCTGGCCTGCCGCAATTGTGGCAGCACTGAGGGAGCTCAAACCGAGCTGCCTGCCGCACTCCTCTCCTCTTCCCTTTCCTGCTACTCCTCTACCCGTCTCTTGCTATTCCTTTTTGTGCTATGCAGACGGGAAAGACGGTGGCTATAAAGAAGATTCACCTGGGTGACTCTAAGGAGGGCGTGAATGTGACAGCGCTGAGGGAGATCAAGCTGCTGCAGGAGCTGCACCACCCGCACATCATCGAGCTCATCGATATCTACCCGCACAAGCGGAACCTCAACCTGGTTTTGGAATTCATGGAGACGGACTTAGAGGTGAGAAGCTCGTGTGCGTCTCAAGCTGTGCTGGCATGAAGGGAGCTGCACCGCCCACCCACACATGATCGAGCTGATGGACATCTACACTCACAAGAGGAATCTCAACTTCGTGCTCGAGTCCATGGCGACGGACCTAGAGGTGCGCTGCTGTTGTGTAACTGTGGCCTTTAACGACTGCTGCCCACCCGCACATCATTGAGCTCATCGGAGGATTGGTCTCTATCACTTGAACTTATCATTGTTATCAAGGCGTTTATGTAATAAGCAACCCCTCTCTCAGACCTTCTCTCCCCAGCGTTCCACCGCACTGCACCCCTCAGAACATTCTCAAGGACCGATCGCTGCACCGATCACCGGCAGCCGTCACCGCATTGCATTCTTGCATGCACCAAGCGTCCCCTCTCTGCCTTGGTGTACCTCAACACCCCATATGCCCATACCCCTGCAGAACATTATCAAGGATCGGTCGCTGCACCTGTCCCCAGCGGACATCAAGGCGTTCATGAGGATGACTCTGGAGGGGCTCGCCTACTGCCACGGCAAATGGGTGCTGCACAGGTGGGGGGGGTTGCACAGGTGGGGGGGTTTGCACAGGTGGGTGCTGCACAGGTGGGTGCTGCGCAGGTGGGCGCTGCACAGGCGGGCGCTGCACAGGCGGGTGCTGCACAGGTGGGCGCTGCACAGGTGGGCGCTGCACAGGTGGGCGCTGCACAGGTGGGTGCTGCACAGGTGGGCGCTGCACAGGTGGGCGCTGCACAGGTGGGTGCTGCACAGGTGGGTGCTGCACAGGTGGGCGCTGCACAGGTGGGTGTGGGGGAGGGTTGGTACCAGCGATGGCTGATACTAGTGACGGATTGTGCTGGTGTCGGTGGTTTGGGGCTACCTCCGTCCTTGGGCTAGAAGCGTTCGCTGTACAAGGCAACATGCATGAATCTGCCATGGCAACATGCATGAATCTGCCATGGCAACATGCATGAATCTGGGGGGGATGGCCACTGGCCTACGGCCATGGTACATGGGTGCTTCGCAGGTGGGTACTGGGGAGGGTTGGAACTGGTGAGGCGAGTCCTCTTCCAGCACAATACATGTCGTGACAGCAAGTGCTGCTTTCATCGGCCCGACATGCGACATGTATTACTCTCATTCCCTTATGCCCCACTCCGGCACCCAGTTCCCCCACCCACTCCCCACAACCTACACCTCACGCCCCATACCACCCACACTCCACACCCACTCCCCACACCCCACACCCCACACCCCATACCACCCACACCCCACACCCACTCAGGGACATGAAGCCGAATAACCTCCTCATCGGCCCGACAGGCGAGCTGAAGATTGCTGACTTCGGCTTCGCGCGCCTCTTCGGCAGCCCTGACAGGAAGCTCACCCACCAGGTGTTCGCCCTCTGGTACCGCGCGCCAGAGCTGCTCTTTGGCAGCAAGGCGTACGGGTCGGGGGTGGACGTGTGGGGCGCTGGCTGCGTGTTTGCTGAGCTGCTGCTCAGACGACCTTTCCTGCAGGTATGTATCCAGAGGCAACAAGCTCTTGGTGGCACGGTACCGAATTGTTCTGCTGTGTGTGTAATACGATGGAAATCGGCTAGAAGTGCCTTTTTTAGGGTGGGCAAAAAACGGCCGTTTTTTTTGGCCGTTTTTTTTTTACCAGCTGGAAAATATGGCCGATAATCACGTTTTGACCGTCGAAATGCACGGATCTCGCGTTTAGGCCTGCAAAATGCGCGGATATCGCATTTCGCCAGCAGCAGATCTCGCATTTCGCCTGCCAAATTGCATGGATCTCGCATTTCGGCGAGAGAAATGCCACATTCGCGCAATTCGCCTGCTGAGATGCACGGATCTGTTATGTCCGCGACTCTGCGAAAAAAAAAAAAAAACTAACTAACTAACTAACTCAAAAAGTGCAAACAAAAAAACGTCTTTTCTTTCTTTCTTTCTTTCTTTCTTTCAGAAAATGACTGAAAAATACGATTGTATTATACGGCCTGTATAATACAATTACCATATTTTTGCACCTTGCCCACCAAGCCTTTGCTCAGCTGCTGCTCAGATGGCCGTTCCTGCAGCTTGTGTCTTCAGCTCAGATGGCCGTTCCTGCAGCTTGTGTCTTCGGCTCAGATGGCCGTTCCTGCAGCTTGTGTCTTCAGCTCAGATGGCCGTTCCTGCAGCTTGTGTCTTTGCAGAGCAGTTGCTTAGGCGGCCCTTTCTGCACGTATGTGTTCTCTCCCCCCCATCTTCTCCACTCCTCTTTCCTGCTCAAGTGCCATGGGCACAAAGATTTTTCGTCTCGTCTCCACTCCTCTTCCCCCTTCCCCAGACCTCTCCTCCTTATCTCTCCTCCTCGCCTCTCCTCCTCCTTACCTCTCCTCCTTACCTCTCCTCCTTACCTCTCCTCCTTACCTCTCCTCCTTACCTCTCCTCCTTACCTCTCCTCCTTACCTCTCCTCCTTACCTCTCCTCTTTACCTCTCCTCCTTACCTCTCCTCCTCGCCTCTCCTCTTTACCTCTCCTCTTCGCCTCTCCTCCTTACCTCTCCTCCTTACCTCTCCTCCTTACCTCTCCTCCTTACCTCTCCTCTTTACCTCTCCTCCTCGCCTCTCCTCCTTACCTCTCATTCTTACCTCTTTTCCTTACCTATCCTTCTTACCTCTCCTCCTTACCTCTCCTCCTTACCTCTCCTCCTTACCTCTCCTCCTTACCTCTCCTCCTCGCCTCTCCTCCTTACCTCTCCTCCTCGCCTCTCCTCTTTGCCTCCCTCCCACCATCTCTCAGGTATAGAGTGACACCGGCCAATTTAAGATCTTTGCTGCCCTTGGCACGCCCCACGAGGATCACTGGCCCGACATGACCTGCCTGCCCCCTGTGCCTCCCTCCCCCCAACGTGCCTCTCCCCTCCCCCTTCGTGCCCCTCAGGGATCGAGTGACATCGACCAATTGAGTAAAATCTTTGCTGCCCTGGGCACGCCTCACGAGGACCAATGGCCGGACATGACCTGCCTGCCCGACTACGTGCATTTCAACTACTGCCCGGCGCCCCCCCTCAAGTCGCTCTTCCCCATGGCGGGCGACGATGCCCTGGACCTCCTTTCCCGCATGCTCACGTTTGACCCCAACAAGAGGATCACTGCGGCTCAGGCACTGCAACACCGGTAAGCTGCGCAAAGCCCTTGGGAGTGTGCTTGCACTGCTGCTAGAAAAGAGCCCCACCGCTCAAGCCCCTCTTCCCCATGGTGGGCGACGATGCCCTGGACCTGCTCTCTCGCATACTCACATTTGACCCCAACAAGCGGATCACTGCGGCACAGGCGTTGCAACACCGGTGTGTCGTTTTGTTCATCCGCTCAAGTCCCTCTTCCCCATGACGGGCGACGATGCCCTGGACCTGCTTTCCTGCATGCTCACCTTCGATCCGAACAAGCGCATCACAGCCGCACAAGCCTTGCAGCACCGGTAAGTGACTTGTTCATTCTAAGCAGCCCACATGCTCACATCTGACTTGGTCTCGCGCATGCTCACATCTGACTTGGTCTCGCGCATGCTCACATCTGACTTGGTCTCGCGCATGCTCACATCTGACTTGGTTTCGCGCATGCTCACGTCTGACTTGGTCTCGCGCATGCTCACATCTGACTTGGCCTCACGCATGCTCACATCTGACTTGGTCTCGTGCATGCTCACACGACCCCAACAAGAGGATCACAGCAGTGCAGGCATTGCAACACTGCTGAGTGGCGTTATTCACGCTCGTATGCTGCAAAGAGCACGGCCCCTCAAATCCCTCTTCCCCATGGCGGGAGATGATGGGGTTTGGACTTCCTTTGATCCGAATGCTCACGCATGCTCCTTTCCCGCATGCTCACGTTTGATCTGACAAGAGGACAGGAGCACAACCCTTACAGCATCGGTGAGTGACTTAGGGATACAAAGGGGGGAGTGGGGTTTCGAGGTACCGTCGCTCTGCACATCAAACCTCCTTCGCAGCAACCCCTCCCAGCGATTCTCATCGATTTCCTCGTGCCAATTAGCGGAGGACGTGTGTCACCGCTTGCTCGTTTTTCCCCTCGCCCCTCCCTTTCTCCTTCATGCTGCAACCCCTCTTGTCCTCCCTCCCTCCTCCCCCCACCAGCTACTTCCTCCTCGGCCCGCCCGCCACCAAGCCCAAGGACCTGCCTCGCCCTCCACCCAAACCGTCTGGAAGCGACTTCCCTCCCGGCTCCATCCCTGTGGGGCTGGCTCCTGTGGGGCCGGATGCAGCAGATGCTGCTGCTGATGCTGCTGCTGCTGTTGGTGATGATGTGAGACGAGAGGGGATGACAGGTGGGGCAGGAGCGGGGGCAGCAGCAGCAGCAGATGCTAATACAGGGAGTCGGCGACTTCCCCCTTCAGTAGAGTCACCCCACTATCCCCGCAACCTGTCTCCAGCCACAAAGGCAGTCCGCATATCCCTTAACCCAGGGATAGAAGAGAACGAGGGTGGTGAGGATAGGGAGAAGGCTGGAGGAGAGCTTATAGGGAGTGGGAGGGATGGGAGAGGAGCGGTGGAGGGGAGTGGGGCGGAAGGGGAGACACCGAGTGAGGTTACCATGGTTACAGCGGTTACTGGGGGAGGGGATGGAGCCCCGATGTCGGTCGATACGGCTATGTTTCCTCCGCGGTCGGCTTTGCCGCCCAGACCGAAGATGAATAGGTAAAGGAGCTTCTCTAAGGTGTGCATTTACCATCTTGTGTCTCGGAAATTCGTCTGCATTTTTTGCTGCTAATCATGTCACGCTTTAGGTGGTCTCAACTCAAAAAGAGCACTCCTTCCTTTCCCTCGGCTCACTGCCGCAACCCCATCCCTTCAGAGACGACCGGCTCTCCCTGCGCAAGCGTAAACTTGATGAAGAATTTGACACCGCATAGAAACTTGAGATTTGCCTTGAATATTTTTGCATTTTTGCCTACGAATGTCTTTGTTCTTCATGCAAAAGGAGAAAAGGTAGATATGTCAAAATAAAGTTCTATATTTCTGCTTGGGGGTAAAAAGGTTGAATTCCAGAATTTCATGGACTTTTTCCTTAACCTTAGGTACATGAGATGAAAATGCTGCTGAAACCAAAACGTGTTACAGTATGCCCTGTATGGCAACTTCGAGAGAGCAAGCCCAATGCTGCACCTCCCCTCTCGCCTCGCAAGTCACCCGATTGTCGTGAATCCGAGTCACGATCGCAGTACAGCAACAATTGGAGGGTCATGAAGCATGCCACTAAACAAATCTATCAAGTACTTACCACCAGGCGAACAGGCACAGTGTGCCCATATTGGTTTGTCCATACAATTTTACCCAACCTAAACGCTGTAGAAAAACCCATAATGACCAAACTAAACAGATTGGATTTCCCAATGCGAAGGGTGAACCTCTGGTAAAACTGTCACCACCAGGGCCTCAGAAGTCAGGCCAAAAAGGCCTGAAAGCCTGTATATCAGGGTGTTTTCTAGGGCATCCCCTGATTTTTCAGGTTTTGATTTTTATCAAACCTGAAATTTATGTGTTCCCATTTTCTAAGGCCTGAAAAATAGTATGTTCTTGTTTTACCGAGCCTGACGAACCTGTTAACGTAGAAACGAATGATTACTAGAGGTGGAAACCTAGAACAAATACTAGTTGGTTGTACTCACTAGAAGCATACCTCAGTCTAGCCTATAACTTCTACATAGATAATATGTATAAGTTGACACACCCCCTAGGCTAGACAAGGGGTGAAACTAAACAAGAAGCAAACAGCTCAGGGCGGCACTACTAGTCCAACCACTGAGGCAGGGGTCTGGAGACCAGTCAGCAAGAATACAACCAAAACTGAAGCAAGCCAGGGTGGCACTACTAGTCCAGCCACTGGAGGTAAGGCCACAAGGCCAGTCTGACAAGCATATATAATAGAGAGTACACAATCAGGATCCTAACAGGGGAGCAGCTATAGGAACAAGACCAAGCTGTACACAGTGCCGCTGATGATCTTTAGGCGCAAGCGCCTTAGTAAAGATATCAGCTGTGTTGGCACCTGAGGCCAAGTGAACTACGCGGGCCTGGCGGCGCTGCTGTAGCTCGCGCAGGAGGAAGTACCGCAGCTGGATATGCTTCGCTCTGCCCTCAAGCCGAGGCTCCTGACACAGGAGTATCATGGCCCTGTTGTCAGCGTACAGGACCGGGGCAGAGCTAGGCCGCTCACCTAAGTCTGTGAGCAAGAAGGTCAGCCAGCGGAGCTCCTGTGCCGCCATGGCACCAGCGTAGATCTCAGCCTCACAGCTAGACTGAGCCACAGACGACGAGCGAGTGGATCTCCAAGAGATAGCACCCGAACCAAGGCTAAAACAGTAGCCCTGCGACGACCTGAGCGTCTCAGCGTCGTCTGCCCAAGAAGCGTCTGTGTGCCCAGTAAGGACCACTGGCCTGCGTCCTCCTAGCACTAACCCCATGCCTGATGTACTAGCAAGATAACGCAAAACCCTCTTAGCGGCAGACCAGTGCTGAGGTCGGTGTCTGCCTGTAGCCACAAAGCGAGCCAGGATGCTGAGAGGGTATGCGAGATCTGGGCGAGTGCAAGTCATCAGGTACATGAGGCAACCCACCAGCTCTGCGTAGGGGCCACTGGGCTCTACTGGCTCCTCAGGAACGGGAGCAGAGAGCCCATGGTCTACGGGTAGAGGTGTGGGCTGTGCGGAGGAGAACTGAAGACCGAACCTCTGAAGGACCTGACGCACCAAGTGTGACTAGGTCAGAGTGATGGTGCGTGCTGCTCTGTCCCTAGAGATCTGCAGGCCAAGATAGCGACGCAGCTCTCCAAGGTCAGTGCAGGTGTGTCTCTTCAGCAGCTCAGCCTTCACAGAGGCCAGTGCGTCCCTGTCAGGAGTAGCGAAGACCAGGTCGTCTACGTAGACAAGGATGTAGAACGGAGTCTGGCCGGAACGCACAAACAGTGAAGGGTCAGCAGAGGACGGAAAGAACTGCAGGTCTGCTAACGTGGCACGTAGCGTGTCGTGCCACTCGCGGGGAGCCTGACGCAGGCCGTAGACCGGGCGCCTGAGAAGCCACTGGGTCCCAGGAGGGAAGGTACCAGTGAAGCCCTGTGGTCGGCGCAGGTAGACCTGCTCGTGTAGGCTGCCCTGAAGAAAGGCAGTAGAGAAGTCGAGAGAGTGAAGCTCGTAGTCACGCTGTGCTGCTACGTGTAGCAGCGCCCGAAGAGTGGTCATCTTCGGGGTCGGGGCGAAGGTCTGGAAGAAGTCAACTCCCTCGCGCTGACTGAAACCTCTGGCCACGTAGCGCGCCTTGAAGACAGGCGGCTCTCCAGGGGGGCGCTTCACCTTGAAGAGCCACCGACCATCGACTACGTTCACCCCAGGCGGGGGAACTGCGTCGACGTAAGTGCCGGTGGATCTCCAAGATGCCATCTCCTGCTCCATGGCAGCTATCCACTGAGAGGCCCAAGGTCCCGAGGTGGCCTCAGCGTAGGTGCGAGGGGTCGGGATGTCGAAGGCGTCTGGGTCACCCTCAGGGACTAACAGCATGGAGCAGAGATGGGGAGCAGCCTCGGAAAGGAAAGCCAGCTCGTACTGCCTGTCCTCTAGGACGTCACTGCCAAGGGCAGGAGCACCCCCGACGGACAGAGGACGGGCAGGGTCAGAGACCAGAGCGGTAGCGTAGTCAAGGCGGCGGGTAGAAGCGAAGTCAGCGACAGCAGCGACAAGCGCGTCAAGGCGCGAGACAGGAACAGCAGGGTCGGTAACAAGAGAGGCAAGGACCCGAGGGACAAGGGGACGAGAAGCACGGAGGTAGTCAGAGAACGGAGGAGGTGCAACAGCAAGGGACGAGGGAGGAGGGGACGGGAGGAGGGGAGGACGAGACGAGTGGGAACGGAGCAACATAGGGTGGGTGGGCAGGACAGGAGAGACGGGACGAGCACGGGAGGGACGGCGAGCCCAAACGTGAGACGGAGGGGTAGGGTCAGGGGACAGCGGAGGAGACACAGGAGGGGAACGAGGAGGAAGACGGGCCGGAGACGAGTCTGGCGGCGGGAACACAGGACCGTAGACAGGGAGGTCAGGAGGCGGTGGGGGAGACACCGGCGCGCGGTCCGGGGAGGGAAGGCCGAGCAGGCGGAGAGCGGAAACCGGCGGCGACGGCTGCTGTGGCGGCGACGACGGCTGGGCCGGAACTCTGGGACCAGCAGAGGCAGAACGACCGTCGGCAGAACACTCAACAGCAGCACCCCCAGAACCAACACCCCAAGAGCGAGAACCCCCTCCAACACCAGCGGCACCCCCAGAAGCCGCAGGACGAACACCCTCCTCCACACCAGCACCCCCAGGGGCCGAGAGCAACGGCGGCAGTGGCGGCGACAGCGGCGACGGCTGCGGCGGCGACGGCGACGGCGGCGGCAGCGGGGTCGGCGACTGCGACAGTGGGGGCGGAGGCACTGGGGAAGGGGGACGCGGCAAGGACGGACCGGGGGTACCACCAGAGTCAGCAGACTCCTCAACGGGGACAACCGACGGGAGGGGAGTGACGTGGGAGACACCAGACGGGGCAGGACGAGGCGGGAGAGGGGCAGGGGCTACCGGGGGAGAGGGAGCAAGGAAAAGGGGGGGGGCAACTGGGAGACCTCGGTGAGGGAAGCGGCGGTAGAAGGAGACGGACTCGTCAAAGGTGACGTCACGAGAGTGGAGGAAGCGGTGAGACGGCGGGTGGTAGAAAAGCCAGTCAGACGAGTCCAGGGGGAAACCGAGGAAGACACAGGGGACAGTGCGGGCAGTGAGCTTGTCCGTGCCAGAGGCACGAACGTGAGCAAGGCAGCCCCAGACGTGGAACGCAGACGCGTCACCGGGGGACCCGGTCCAAAGGAGGGTCGGCGAAACCTGCGGCCGCTGGGAGCGTGGCCACAGGTTAAGCTGGTGAGCCGCGTAGCGAACAGCGAACGGCCACAGAAAATGGGGGGCATCGGCATGGATCATGGAGGTACGGGCGACCTCCATGACCAAGCCGATGCGGCGCTCAGCAACCCCATTCTGCTGTGGCGAGTCCGGCAACGTGTACGACTGGGTGATGCCCTCCGCACGACAGAACTGTCCAAGCCGACCAGAGGCGAACTCGCCGCCACGGTCGGAGTGGAGACACAACACGGGGAGACCGCGGTGGAGACGCGCAGCTACAACCCACGGGAGAAGAACGTCGGGCACGTCGGCCTTCCGCTCCAGGGGAAACACCGTGGTGTAGCGCGTGTAGTCGTCAACGAGCACAAGGAAGTAGCGCTCACCGCGCGGTCCGGGGACGGGGGCAGGGCCCCAAACGTCCAAGTGCAGGGTCTGAAGGGGGGCAGTAGCAGGACGCAGCGAGGAGGAGTGAGGAGCACGGCGGAGCCGACCCTCGACGCAAGGCGTGCACGGTGGCGCAGTCGAGGGAGGAAGGGCAGGGAGCGACGCGGGGAGACCTAAGACAAGACCGTGCTGGGACATGTGACGCAGACGCGGGAGAGCAGGGTGACCTAAGCGGTGGTGCCAGAGAAGGGAGGGGTGAGTGAGGGACCGACACGAGCAAGCTGCAGCGACCTGGGAGGACGCACCAACCGGGGGGGAAGCGGTGTGTAGGGTAAACAGACCGGACACCGGGTCCCGGGGGAACGTCGCAAGGGGGGAACCTGAGACAGCCTCAGAACAGACAGCGAACCGCTCGTGCCCGGGGAACGTGGTGGTGACGCCGAGGTCCTGGAGACAGCCGACACCAACCAGGTTCCTGGAGAACGAGGGAACGTGGAGGCCAGTAAGGGAGCCCGAGGGAACTGCCGGACAGGGAAGGGACGTAGAACTGCGCGCGACGACCGGACCCGCAGAGGGGTCAGCGAGAGAGACAACAGCAGGTGCAGCAAGCGGCGTGAGCGTGGAACGGTCGCGGAAGAAGCAGGCAGAAGCACCAGAGTCGAGAGTGAAGGACAGCGACGCAGTGGCGGAGGCCGCGGACGGAGCCGGTGCAGCGACTAGACTAGGCAACCTAGGCAGTCCTACGCCTGTCGCAGCAGGGGAAGCTAAGCTACACAAGGGTGAA